CTTTCGTGGTGTAACTAAACGGCATGTATTCGGGAGGTCCAGAGTTCGAGTCCCGGCCAAGGTTTGAACATTTCTTCAGTTCTCTGAAATCAAAAACGTACTGGGAAGCTGTATAAGTAAAAAAAGCTAAAACGAGGTTAAAATTAATACGTAGAAAAAAATATTTTAGGAAAATTTTTCGCACTATAAAATTTGCTTCTAAAGTGAAATATACCCAGTTATGGGCAAGTGATTGTTGCTACCAAATATTAGCGCCCTGTATTATATTTAAAGAAATTAAAGAATGAAGAATCTCCATGAATATATATATGTTTCTCGCATTTTGATAAAACAAAGGTACCTAGAGCCATCAAAATTTGAATAACGTAATCTTCCATAGAATATGGGCATGTGGAAGCCCTAATTTGAATTTGAAATTTGCTTTATTATCGATTTCAGATTTTGTAACACCTCAATGAATTTTTGATTAAAATTCTAAACGATTTCAAAGCGAGCAATGGCAACACTGTACGGGGGGGGGGGAAACATTTTTATCTCCAGGGCGCGAGACTCTGTATCGGAAATTCTAAAAATATGCTAAATTTAAAATTAATTTGCGATATTGCTGTTGAACTGAACTTTATAGTTTGAGTACGTAGAACATAATATTGAATAAATAGGTAACATACAAAACGTTAAAAAAGAAGGGCCCTTTGTACGTAATTAAAAATCTGTAAACTTTCATATTTTTTGTCTTTTTATTTTTTGTTTTTATTATTTGTTAAAATAGCAGTTTCTAAGCAAATATGCATTACTCGTCAAGTTCATTTTCTTATATTCTTATATCATGTTTAAGGATTCGCATAATAATCATTACTAGGACTCGTATGGCAATCTCTGCCAGGGCCCACAGATTTTTTTCTAGACATGGGCTGCAGCAAACAAGTTTGCTTTCCATGCGTTAGGAATGCTAGCCGTCTTCTTTTACTCTTTTAAGCTAACTGAATTTGGACAAAGATTTGATTAAGTGCATGTGTCAGGATGTAAGAGTATAACAGAAATGTATTAACTCTATTAAAGTGCACTTTGCAATTCACACTGCTATTCGCTCTGAAAACGGATTTTGCTTTCAATTCATACAGTTAAGTAGAAGGTTGCAATAATACTATAATGTTCTAATGCTAATATGAGTTAATAAACTTTGTCAGCTTTGTTGTTTATTATGAATATATTTTTCAGATTTCAGTTTTTCATTCTGAAATCTCCATACTCACTTTAGCAGGCTTCCTACAGTTTTATACTATTTGTTATTGCTTATTACATCCCATTTAATGCTCTATTCTTAAGGTGTTATCCCATTCCTTGCACATGCTTTTGGAGTGTAAGTGTTTAGTATTTATTTGATTTAGCACGAAGAATATCTGTGGTTTGAATCCCGGTAAGGACTCCTTTCTTTAGCTCCAAATATCTACTCTTGTGTACAGTTTTACAGTGGGCCCCGAAGTAAAATGTAGGGAACGTTTATTTAGTTACCCTCTGGATTTGGTCGACTGCATCTCGTATCTTTTTCTAATCGCCGTTTAAGTGGAGCAGGATGTAAGGCATTACGATATTCTACAAAGTTTGCTCCCTCGCACCAACTCTTCGAAAATTATTAATGTTGCTGCGGCTGTTCTGGATACTTTTTGGTTCTATTTGACTTCTTGGACAAGACAATAACAGAGTTTGCTATCCTGGTGTAAGCAGTTAAGCAGTTTTCACGTCAGCTAGAAAATATTCGAGGAATTGCGGTTCCAATTCCGCGAGGCCGTAATTGACTTTTCACGATTCAAACCTAAAAAAAAAAAAAAAAAAAAAAAAAAACTAACTAACTAATAGTTTGTACAGTGGCGCCCGAATAAAAATGTGATAGACGATAAATCGTTACCATCCAAATTTAGTCGAATGCATCTCGAATATCTTCCGAACAGCCTTTTAAATGGAAAAATGCACCCTTGGTAATATTTTCGAGATGTAAGTGGTTAGCATATCCAGCTAGCAGTTAAAAAAATTTCTGATTCAAATATCAGCGAGGGTATGGCTGAATGTTGTGTTTTCTGGTTGCAAAAATCTATTGCTTTTTACATTTACACAGTTTGAGCAATTTCATTACTTCATTTTCCAACTACATGTTTAAAAATTAATGCGAATTTTAATAATAATAATAAATTTTTCCTCATTTTCCGAGGAATCAATTTTCTTTGGCCACCCATTTTAAAATAGAAACATGCTTCAGTTTCAGAACGAGAAATTAAACTCATTCAAGGATTAGTCGATAACTTCCTTTACATAGAAAGAGAAACGTCGAAGTTTTATTTAGAAGCTATTATTATATTCTTTTTCATCTTTCGCTTGTTATCACTCGAATTTTGCGAAATTTGAAATTTTCCTTTCGTGGATTATCAAATTTAAAAATCAGTTAGTAATCAAAATAACCATGTACATGTGTAGATACGTGTGACCGTACCCAGGTGTACCATTTTCGCTTTGCCTATAATCGGGTTTGAATAAGGCTGATGTATTAGGTTTCAACAACAGTCAGGCATTTTATCGTAAAAAAGTCAAGTGAAACATTTAATTTCCTAGACATCTTTAATGTGTTTATTTAAGTACTTTTTAGACATAATTAGGCGCTTGCGCAGCTAGCCCCCTATAATAGTTGTCATAAAAAAAGAAAAATATATATAATGATTTTAATGAGTCCAGTTAGTTTAATTATATGAAATTTTTTATAATTTCAACAATCAACCAAAACTTTTTTTTTTTTTTTTTTTGTGGCACTAATTTAACCAGTCGTTTCTATCCAACGATTCTATATTTTAGATGCAATAAAAATTATACAATGAACCTATAGTGAATATAGCATTTCACTATACAATTTTTTTAATATAAGAAATACTTTTAACTGTGTTCCGAAAAGGATTGGGAATGAAGGAAAAGTTTTTAAAGCATTTTATTATTCATTGCATAAAAAAGAATCGTATCGGTAACAATGTGAAGAATGAAAAATATCAGCTTATTTCCCTCCTTCAGATCCCAACTCTATTTACATTATTTTTTGCGTAAATTGGCAGAGGTGAATCTAGTTCAATTTCATTACGTGCTATTAATCTGACGCTTTTTGTGCGTATCATTTCTGTGTTCGTAACACTTTTCAAATGTTATTGCTATGTATTAATTTTAAAGATAAAATACAGCGAATATTAAAAAAAATGGCAACATAAATAAAAGGATGATGAGATGAAATGTTATCTCTATGTGTTTACTTTTAAAGAAATGATTTAGCGAATGTAAACAAAATGTATGGCAACGCAAATAATATGTTGCCACCTAATATTATCGCAACGTATTATTTTTAAAGAAATAATATGTGAGTGAATATAAAAAAATGATTCGCGACACTTGAACGCTTTATTGGGAATCCTAAAAACATATCGAGTATAAAATATTTTCAACATACACGCGCCAGTTTTATACCGTTTGCAGAAGTGTAACATATTTAATATTTCTCATCTTGGTACTGATTAACAAACTAAGTGATTTAAAAGCTATAAAACAGTTATTTATCGTTTTTATACATTACCAGCTGCACCCATAATGCACTAGCTGGATTTATTAAAAGCATTACATATTTTTTCTTCTTCTTCTTTTTTTTTTTTTTTTTTTTTTTTTTACAGTAACTATTTTAGCTGCTAGTTATTTGAAAAGTGAAACGGACGATAAAGGTGAGGTTCGAGTATAATAGTTCTTCTGGGCTAAAAAGATGTACAAAGTATAAAAAGTAAAGTGTAAATGTAATGTTGCACCCTTAACACTATCGAAAACTCTAAAAATATGGTATTTTTAAAAATTTTGTAATTTTGGCGGTGAATTTTATGTAGCGTAATTGCGAAGAAAGAGGTATTTAATAATATAGTTTAAAAGAAAAAAAAAATGTCAGCAGGTGCGAATAGTTGATTAGATTGGTAAACTGCAAGCTCGACGTCACCATAGAATACCTTAGCAAATCCTTCTGATGCGATGTTAAAATTTGAACGGTTTTAGATTTTTTTTTTTCTTCCTTCCTTTTTTTTTTTTTTTTTTTAAATTTATTTTTAAATTTACTGAAGTACACTAAATGTGTTACTTAAGTTATTAATTATTCATATCTTATTATTATATAATAAAGAATATGTGAGTGATTATGTGCATTCGTCGTATAAAGCAGAGACGTTAACTACACTTGCTATTAATGTACGTTTTTAATTTTCAAGAGCCTTTTCATGCTTGGAGAATAAATAGAAATCATTGCTTGTGATGTTTTGACATACAAGAATTAAAAGAGATTTCAAATTTCACATTCCAAGCCCCCCCCCAAAAAAAGTCATATTCTAAAAGAGGACACATTAATAAATCTTCGGTTACTTATCGTCTTTCATTCCTTAACTGCATTAAAATTTGTTGAATCAAAGGACTAGATTATCTTAAATTGCTACATTCCGAATCTTTCCACATTCAATAAATTAGTGATAGATATCAACACCAGGTAATGATTTCAGTTCAATTCCTTCCTTCCCAAGATATTGAAGCTGCTCTTACACTTTCTAGAACTTTTGTTCCCATTTTGTTCAATAAATGAAGCTACAGTTATAGCTTCCTTTTTATTACTTGCCTAAGTGAAGTATTTGCCAGATAAAGCAGTTTATTTGTGCTTTCTAACGTAAATGCATATCTGTCAGATTCCTTCAAAACGCACAGCTATGAAATAAATAAATGGCACTGTTAAGAATAAGTTCACAAAAAAAAGGTAAGCGGACTGCAATATCACTTGTTTATTTTACATAACACTTTCAAATAGAAGGAATGCCGTCTACGTGACGACACAGCACACTTCACTCTTAGCACTGTAGCAATTATTTAAAAAAAAAAAAAAAAAAAAAAAAAAAATACTAATCACATAAGTTATGAGTTGAAAGTTCGTTACCATAGCAACCAGAATTGAATCATCAGGCAGCAACGCCATCTATTGTTGCAAAGACACACTAGTAATTCGTTTGGTAACAAAAAATACTAAACATAGCCCTCGGCCTTGAAGCCTTCTAAGGGTTCAAAAAAGATAAATATTTAAAGCATACATAATAACATTAAAAAAATTAATTGAAAATATAACTAAAATTAAAGTTCAATAATATGAAAAAAGTCAATAGTTCATAGTTCATATTAGTCATGATTGGGGATAAGACACAATTTAGTAACAGCTCGTTTGAAATCACCAGCGGCTGTATGGATTGTAGCCACTCGAACCTTTTTATCACTACCTGGATAAATTAAGGCAATTCTTCCAATTTTCCATTGGTTTGGAGGCAGTTGTTCGTTTTTGATCAGAACTAAATCACCACATTTTAGATTTGGAGACGCACGAAACCACTTAGCACGTTGCTGAAGTGTTGTTAAATATTCTGCACACCATCGTTTCCAAAAATGTTGCACAGTCTGTTGAACTAGAGACCAACGTTTAAGTCGTGAAGATTTCACATCACTCAAGTCAGATTCCGGAATGGCAAGCAAAGGGGCTCCAATCAGAAAATGACCTGGAGTCAATGCACTAAAGTCGTTTGGATCACTAGACATCGCACAAAGAGGACGGGAATTCATACACGCTTCCACTTGTGTAAGCACTGTTAAAAATTCTTCGTAAGTTAGAAGTGTGGATCCTAATACTCGTTTAAGATGAAATTTCATGGATTTCACATTAGATTCCCACAAACCACCGTAGTGAGGAGATGTCGGAGGATTAAATAACCAAGTTATACCTCCTGAGGTAATGTAGTCACGTAATTCACTGCTTATCTCAATGCGAGCTGCATTTTTATAAATCTCCTTCAGTTCCTTACTAGCACCTTTGAAGTTAGTAGCACAGTCACTCGAAATTTTAGATGGTTTGCCTCGTCGAGCGATAAATCTTTTTAGAGCTGCTAGAAACGTTGGAAGTTGATAGATCACTGACTAACTCCAAGTGTAAAGCTTTTGTTGAGAAACACACAAAAAATGGATACGTAACACTTGAAAGTTTTTGTTCTTCTCCCAACTTGGGACTTAATAGAATATGGACCAGCATAATCAACACCGGTGACTGCAAAAGGTCTTGATGGTTGAACTCTGGGCGAGGGTAAATCACCCATTATCTGGGTCACAGTCTTGCCCTCGATTTTTTAATACAAGGAATACATCCTGTGAATAATCTTTCTCACTACGCTTCTCACCGAAAGAATCCAAAACTGCATTCGTATAGTGCTTATTAATAACTCTTGACTAGCATGCAAATAATTGACATGTTAATGAGTTACGATGATATTAGTGACATGTCCTTCCTTTGGAAGCAAAATAGGATGTTTGCTAGGAAAATAGGACTTTCAGGAATGTTTGCATTTTTTAAGCGACCACCTACTCGAATGATGCCTTCTTCATCAAGGAAGGGAGTTAATTGTATTACTCGACTGCTCAAACTTTTAAATTCTCTCGATGTTTTTAAACAAGACAGCTCTTGAGGAAAGTAAGATTCTTGGCCGTTTTTTATCACTGTTTATGTAGCTAATCGAAGCTCATCAGTTGTCAGAAAACCTCTCAAACGATTTTCGGATTAGTTTCGACAGTTGTAAATGAATCTTAGGCATAAAGCAACTATACGACGTAATTTTGTCCAAGATGAATACCGTTTAAAAATGACATTTTTCTTTACTGTACAAGATACTGAAATGCACGTTTTCTCTCTTTTCTACGAAATCCTTCAAAATCTACATCAGCAAGATGTTCACTGTCAGGACATGGTTTCGAAATCTTGTGAATATTAACCAAGTAGGTCCAATGAACCATCGCTCACACTTCAGAAATTCTGCTGGAAACATTTCCTCTTGTAACCTGAATCAGCTGGGTTCCGCTTTCCATTGATATGGTTCCACCTTACATTAGGAATTGTAGTTCTGTATTTTGGCAATGCGGTTTGCAACAAAGGGAACCCAACGAATATGGTTCTGCAGAAATCCAGGACAGTACAACAGTTGAATCTGTCCATGGCCAAAACTATTACGTATAGGAAACTCTAAATGTTCTAACACTGATTTAAGTACACTAATTCACTAACAAAACTGCAGCACATAACTCTAATCGAGGTAATGATTACACTTTCAAAACAGGGCAACTCTTGTTTTTGATGTTAAGAGTGATATTACTTTGATGTCCAAATTACGTGACACTGAATGCAAACTAAATTGCTGCACAGTAGCCTTTCTCAGGAGGCATCACAAAAAAGCACAAATATCCAATATAGTTTACATCAGGAATCAAACAAATCTCGGTATTTTTAATTGTTGAATAAGATGTAAATCAATTTCGGAAACTCTTCCATTTGTTAGCAATCTCATCACTAACAGGCTCATCCCACGATAAATGGAGTTTCCACATTAGTCTTGTATCAAGATTTTGACACAAATAAAAATAATACAAGAAGCAAGCCAACCCAATGGGTCAACTACTAATCAGATAAATCAGAACGGATATTTCTTTTAGTAGTATTTAAACTTTTCTCCAGAAATGTACACGGAAAAGTTAAAGTAGTCTTAAAGAGGGGTTCTAATTAAGTCCTAAAACTTTGATTGAGCTATCGTATTGAATTTTCATTGTCTCAGAATCATTTCTCAATTCCTTGGGTATATTCTCTAACACTGACAAGTCATTGGGTGGCCATTTACGCAGAAGAAATCCTCCACGTTCTAACATTTGCAAGAGTTGATTTACTAGATTTTTGCACTCTTTAGTGTTTGAGCACCTATCAAACGATCATCTACAAAAAAATTTTGAAGTACAGCCTTCGAAGCTAAAGATAGTTATTCTGCTCATCGTAGGCAAGTTGGTATAAAGCACAAGTAGCCAAATATGGAGCCGAGGCAGTGCCGTATGTGACAGTATTAACTCGAAATTCTGAATAGGATCACTTGGTCTGTCCCGCCAAAATATCCTTTGAAAGTTTTATTCTCATTAAGTAGAATTTGTCTAAACATTTTCATGATATCAGCTGTGACAAACTACTGGGTAACATCTGAATTTGATCAAAACTGGAAACAGCTCTTGTTGTATTCTGGGACCTGTCATCAATATGTCGTTAAGAGATAGTCCTGATGAAGACTTACTAGTAGCATTAAATATCACACGTATTTTACTCATAGAGCTAGATTCCTTAATTACTGCATGATGTGGCATGTAGTATGCCTGACTTGGGGACTCACGGGCTACTACGGACTGGTTCCATGTGCCCGAGATCCAAGTATTCCTTCATGAAATGTTTATACATATCATATGTATCAGGAGATCTTAAGAGATTTCTCTCTAAAGATTTAAATCTTTGTAAAGCAAGATCTTTAGAATTACCCAACCTTGAAGGGTTATCTTTAAATGGAAGTTTCACTACATAACGACCATTTTGATCACGGAAGTGTGTTGTTTTAAAGAACTCTTCACATTTTTTATCTTCACTTGAAATACGTTTGACTTCAGGAATGGAGTATAAAGACCAAAATCTTTCAACTAATTCGTTTTTATTCAGCTGAAGATTATTCACTGTAAAAGTGTTAGATTCGAATCATCATCAATAGTGTTCCCGGAAATGATCCAAACCAACTGAGAACTAATTGCAAAGGGCATTGATTCTCCTCTCTTTATGATGTCTCCCTTAAGCCTTATAGTAAAAAATACATGTACACCTAATAAAATATTTATAGGTTTTCTTTCATAGAACTTAGAATCAGCTAAAATTAGATCGTCAAAATGATTCGCAAATTTAGAAGGAAGCGACACGTTAGGCACATCTGAAGTTATCCTTGGAATCACGAATGCATATGTTCGGAATTTAAATTTGACTCAAAGTGCGGGGTAAAAATTAATTCCACTTCTCCACTTGTTACATTGTTGAACGAACCAAGGCACGATACTTCAATTTTTTTTTTTTTTTTTTTTGTTAAATCTACCTATCTTTAGTTTACTGACATACTCTTCACTTATAAAGCTGGCTTCACTGCCACAGTCTAGTAAAGCCCTGCAAGAGATGGCTTTACCATTGGAATCACTAACTTTTATGAGAGCAGTACACAGTAATACACGTTTTGATTCACCTTTAGAATAACTAAATTGTCCTTACATGTTGTGGCATTTGTAACGACTTCATTCTTTGTAGAACACTTCGGCTCTGGGGGAGAGTGAGACTTTGTTTTGGTTTCTCATTTTCACTAGTTTTGATATTTCGATCAAAATGAAGAACAGTATGATGAGGTAACTTACACGTCATACATTTATGTAAACTATGACAGTTTTTCACTAAATGAGGCTGAGAAGATAAACAATAAAAATTTGAAGTACACTCGAAGCTAAAAGGATAGTTATTCTCAATCGTAGGCAAGTTGGTATAAAGCACAAGTAGCCAATTGGAGCCGAGGCAGTGCCGTATGTGACAGTATTAACTCGAAATTCTTGAATAGGATCACTTGACTGTCCGCCAAAATATCCTTTGAAAGTTCTATCCTCTTCATTAAGAGAATTGTTCTAAACATTTTCATGATATCAGCTGTGACAACTACTGGGTAACATCTGAATTTGATCAAAACTGGAAACAGCTCTTGTTGTATTCTGGGACCTGTCATCAATATGTCGTTAAGAGATAATCCTGATGAAGACTTACTAGTAGCATTAAATACCACACGTATTTTACTCATAGAGCTAGATTCCTTAATTACTGCATGATGTGGCATGTAGTATGCCTGACTTGGGGACTCACGGGCTACTACGGACAGTTTTGTGTTAAGTTTGTGTTTCTTAACAAATTCGATTCTTTTTTTGACTTAAGTTTAAAAACTTACCACATTTGTGAAGAGAATGATCTTCCTTGCACATTACACAATACACATTACACAATAATACAAGGAGCAACCAACCCAATGGGTCAAATATTTTCGCTAAATCAGAAAGGATATCGCTTTTAGAGTATTTAAATTTTAGAGTATTGTTTTTACTCGACACTAAAAAAGTTACTTTGGAATTAGAAAATTTTCTAAAATCTTTAGATTGGTTTCTACTATTCTCAAGGGTTCTAGCGTGGTCTTTTAGAAACTCGAGTAAATTATCTAAAGTACCTGATCATTGTTTTTTTTCAAAGTTTCTTTCCCACCAAAATTTTATGTTTTTATGTAATTTCTCAGTTATCAGATAACAAAAGAACAACCAGAAAAGATCAGAAACTTCTAGCTTAAGAGTTCTCAAAGAGCGTACACATTCATTCACTACATCAACACAATGTAAAATAGCTTGAGCTGAATCAGAAACATTTGGCAAATTAAACATTTTATGGATTAATGCATTAGTTAATTCTCTTTTATTAGAATAACGTTGTAAAGTTGCGCGCTTCCAACCTGCACGCAACAAAGTGGTGACTGCTGAAAACTGGAAATTAGACAGAGTCTTGAGAAGGGTTTAAGACCCTTTTTATTCAACTTTAGAAGTTACAAATGCGTGCTCTTGACGCTCACAAACTACGCCGACCCGGCGGTAAAATAAAAATAAGAAACTAAAAAGAGATACTAACAAGTAACTAACTACGAGGCTCTCTAAACGTAACTAACCTCACCGCGTTTTAACAATAC